CTGTCATCCTGGATTAATTTTAGGTTTTGAGCCCAACTCCACATCTTATCCTAGCTTTGAAAAAGTTGGGGTCAAATGCCAGCTTTCCACTACACCAGAACCAAAAAACCTTACAGACAGACATACAGCTCCAACTGCCCAGCTCACTCCTGGTTGCACAGACACCTCTAAGGTGAGGACAGAGCCAGAGGTGACAAGAGAAGGTCATTAAGAGTCTCAGGATAAATCCTCGCGTTCACTTCAGCCCCTTTTTTTTCTGCAGAAGCAGGTTTTTCCATCCCACCCCACCTAGTGTCAAGCCCGTGTTGCTGTTACACAGGCACATCCAGCATCTCCTGGGCTGCCTTCCACTGGAGAAGGCCAAGCAAATCCCTTCTGTTTCCTTTGCTAAATGCTCCTTAACTGTTTCTCAGCAGCCTGTTCCTGGCAATTATGTGACAATTCAGCACAAATGTCAAGGAGCTGCAAAGTTTTCAGCACTTTCTGCAGTGCTGAGGCTGGAAAACAATGCCTATATATTTTTTTGCTGATCCAAGTCCTTAGTAATTACACTTAATAGATCCCAGAGGGATTCCTAGGTAACCTGCACTATGGTTTCCATGGCAGAGAGACAAAGCTTGTGCCCTGTGATAACAGATCATAATGGTTTGTTAATGCTTAAATTAATTATGCTACAATTGTATTTGTAAACCAGCTGTCCCTTGTATTCCTAGTAAGACCCTTAGGTTGCTATACCATAGTTAAAGGATAAAAACAAACAAAATGGAGTGTCAGCAATGGTGGGGCTCCAGCAGGGGTGCAGTGTGCCAAAACCCACAGGCTGGATGAAACCTTCACTCCCTACTTCTGCAGCTACAATTACCATTACAATTCCTGTGCCATAACAAGTGTCTTTTTACATTTTAATGTTTCCTTAGGTTTGGGTCTATTTTCCAGCTCTCTAAACTTTGGAGAAAGTCTTAAAAGCCCTTGGAGACCATCCCTGTAGATACAGAAGGACCCTCTTACCTTGCTGATAACTTGCCCACCCTTGGCAGGTGTTTTCCTCCTCCTATGTAGGACTCCAGAGACTTCTTCTTATAAAGAATAAAAACCAAAAATCCCAGCCCCAGAGCTGTCTTGTTTTGCTGATGAAACTTGCATCACCCAGGATGCTGGATGATGCTTAGGCACTCAGGAGCTTGATTTAATTTTTCCTTTCCTGGAGCCAGGCCGGTAACCATTCTGGGTGGAATTCATCTCACGTCACTTGGTCTACAGACAGCCTAGATGGTTTAGCACAGACTAGATGTCTAACATTTAGACAGCCAAAATTGGGTGAGAGGATGCTGCCAACTGGCGTCTGCTTCCCAGGAGAGGAGGTTCTGGACTCGCGGGCGCTGGGAGGCAGCGCGGCTCCCGCAGCCGAGCCCCGGCTCCTGGATGACAGGCAGGGTTGTTTGAACTAATCTCTGCAGTTCCTGGCAGCCTGCTTTAGCACTGCTGTTTCAGGGCTAAAGAGAATGTTGTAGATTTTTAAAATAAATAAATAAAGAGACCAGAAAAAAGAGCAGCTTTGCAGGCTGCTCGCTGGCTGTGACACACCAGCCCCAAGCTTGGAAAATCAGCACAACCTCTGGCTTTCTAGCTGGCCTCAGGGATTCCTTTGGGCTTTTCTAAGTCTCCACGAGGCCAAAGATGAGAGAAAGCACCACCGAATCACTACAGCAACATGCAAAGTTGCAAATCAAGGGCTGTGGCTCTTCTTTCTAAAGGTGGGTGGCTCACCATACAGAGGGCTGGCACGTGGTGGGGAGAGTTGTAAAAGCTGCTGGTTCTAAAATGCTGGCTGTAGCTGCAGTAAAAGGGAGTTCACTGACCTGTTGCCAGGCTGGACTCAGGAAAACATCTCTTCTAAAGCACAAATCCAGAAGTGATTCATCTTTTTCCTGGGCACTGAGCAAGAGTCACTTCTTAGAAACAGATGACATACATCCCTGGACATCCTTGTAATCCAAAGGGAGAAAGGCAAGTGTTTCCTCTGAGCAGAGGTTAAGGCAGAAAGACCTCACTAGTTAGAAATAAGCCAGATAGAAGCATTTAGAAGTGCAGCAGGATTTGTAATTGGAGCTAAAACAGAAGCCTCAGGGTCACAAAGCTGCTTATCCACCAGCTGCCACAGGCAGGACTCCAGCCCCTGCCAAGATCTGTGTCTCACCGGGGGGAGTGGCCGTACCTGCCACTGCTCCATGGACAGCCCTTGTTGGGGTCAGCACAGGGAAAAGGGTGTTAAAAAGAGGGAATTGTCACAAGGAAGCACAATTTGTAGGTTGCCAGACAGTCAGATTTGAGCTGTTCTGTTTGCAGAGACCCCTCCCTGGTCATCCTGTTTCTGGGATGTTTTTGCTGGCAACCATGAAAGACCCTGCATATGCGGTAGCAAAGTGAGCATCTTCTCCTGCCTTTACATTGAACAGGGGATGCAAGATGCAAATAGGTGCAGGATGAACCAGGGAGCTGAGGAAAATATCCCTGCTGAGGAAAATATCCTGCTGATGCAGGCAGGTGGGTGCATGTTGCATAGCTTGTTCACTCTCCCAATTTTTCTGTCTGAGGGCACAACTTTGAGGAGCAGGTGTATAAATGAACGATGTGCTCCCCTCCCTGGGCATCATCCCATCAGCATCCTCTGACAAAAGGTTGTGATTTCCAACAGGTCCATCCCAAAGTGTCCCTGTTTGTGAGGGAAAGCTCTAACAGCAAGGAATTGAGAAGCAGCCAGTCCTACGCTCTGTGCCTTTTGTCAGGGAGGAGAAACAGCCTCCGGATTATCCCAGGCTCTTGTCAGCTGGTGTGCAACTTTGCCTCCTTCATGGCACTGAAAGGATCTGGCAGTCTGGGCAGGGCAGGGGCAGAAATGGTGGCTGCTGCTTTGGCAGAGGGAATGAAAGGGCGAGTGGACCAAGGCTGCAAGTGCGAGCGAGAGCAGTTTAAATCCTCCCTTGGCTGCGAGGTGGAGGGAACCAAATGCATTTTGTGTCTCTGTGGTGCCCTGCCAACAGCAACAATGACAGGGATAATCACTTGCAATCTGTTATTATATTAACACGAGCTCAAAAATCGTAAAACCCACTAATCTTTTGAAATGAAGCTAAACCCCCCGAAATGTAAATAACACACCAAGCGTCGCAGCACTTGGCAGCAGCAAGGCTGGGTTGTGGGCAGTGGGGAGGAGGGGCAACGGGGGACGGGGGGGTGGTTTCTGCCTCTGAAAGGCTTTGCCTGGTGCAGGTGGAGAGATTTGCTGGAAGCAGTCAGGCGTGGATACCTGCCTGCCAGGAGAGGCTCTCTGCAATCCCTCCGTTTGCTTGGCTTCCTTTGACCCTGTTGCTAAGCTACAAATATGCCTTTCCAGCAAGCTCCAGCATCCTCGCTCCTACCCACTCCCAAAGCAGAACTGAATCAGCCTGCTCAGGAGAGAAATGATCTCCAGCCAGCAAGGAGCTTTATTTTTTTTTATTTTTCCAGCAGCTCTGCAGAGTGGTGCAAGGACTTGCCTAGAAAGGGTGCCCACCCCTGCCCCATGCCAACCCAAGAGCCACAGGAGCTTGGTTGAGGGCACAGGAGCAGAAAGGAAAAACATCTCTGCCATTCCAGGCAGTTAAAGCTGGCACAGCTCAGTTGCAGCAAGAATAGACAAGGATACCAGCTACTCCAAGAAATAGCTACCACCTACCTGCACACACGCTTGCTCACCCTGATGCAAACCACATTAACACTTTAGGACAGCAAATGTTTTTCTGGCAGGGATGAGGTGTCAGGGTGGATGCTTTTCTGACCAGTGATCTGCAGAAGGATGCGTTGGCGTGTTGTCTGCAGTCCTGAGGCTGAGGGGTCTCTTCCTGTCATTCCTGGGATGCTAGTAGGGTCTCACATCCTTGTCAGGTCCAGGACAAGTTGTCAGGGATGCCTTTGTGCTCAGTGGAAAGTGATGGGTGCTTCTGGGGTGCCCTTCAGCCCAGCCCACAGTGGGGGGCTGACATGGGTCAGTTGTGATGCGAGTCACTGCAGTGGTTTCCACGTTGTCCCCAAGAGCTTAATTTGGTCTGTAAGAACCTCAGAAAAGGTTGTTAGAGCTTTCCCAGAATGTTGCTTCAATGTAGACCACCACCAGCTTCTGTTGGTGCTGGGATCCCTGTACAAGCTGTCATGTTTACTGGGAAATGTCCTTTGAAGACTCCTCCAAAGCACCCCCAAACAACTGCATGGTACAGTACAACCTCTTCTCCCCTTTTCCTTGACCACCTCGGGTAAGCAACTGATAGGTCAGATTTCCTGTGTGCACAACACGGGGGAGTCCATAAGCAACTGCTGGCTTCATCAGTGGGTCCCATGGGTGCTTGGCAGGCACTGGGTCTGGGGCTTACCTTGGGACTTACATACCATTTAAACAGAGATTGGCCCAAGGCTTGCGGGTGTGTTGAGGCAGATGGATGGAAAGTAAGTGTTGAAGTGACTCACAAAAGCAGGGGTGCAACAGCTTTGCTCTCACCCAGGCATAAGAGGGACAGTGCCACCAGGGATGCCTTGGGCTATGGGTGAGTGTGGGGAGGGAGCAAAGGGGCTCCTGGCACAGCCAGGAGAGGGATTTTCTTTGCCTTTGGAGAATCAAGGACTGCACGAGGAGGACATTGTGCTTCAGTGAAAGACCTCAGGGTGACCTGTTTATTGTCACAGGGAGTCAGGCAATAGCCCTGGCTTCAGTCCCTTGCTCCTGCTGTTTGCTCACCTTGAAAGGGAGGATCCTTATCCACACCTTCCTCACCAAGGCAGCAACCTGCAAAAATTCAGCCAGGGTTACCAGGAGCTTTGGGATCATTTGCTGGGGGTGTGAATCTGCTGCCTGGGGTGTGCTCCCCTGCAGACCTGCCTGCCCTGCAGTGCCCAACCCCTGCTGCAGGGCAACCTTAGACAGAGTTCCAGGGCACCTTCTAACTCCTCTCCTTCTCTTTCTCTTGCAGGGCTCAGCTCCCATCTTGGTAGTCATGGTGATCTTACTAAATATTGGAGTCGCCATTTTGTTTATTAACTTTTTCATCTAATTCAAGACTGTCTTGTTTGCAAAAATAACAGTTACATGTATGAATGGGGGAAATAAAAAACAACAAAACAAACAGCAACCAAACACAACAACAAAAAAAGGGAAAAATCATAACTCGAACTGTCCTATGACAATTTCCAAGTCTTTTCACAGAAGAACAACAAACAATCGAGTCTCACTCACAGTTTGCCTTTTTTCCTGGGTAATGTTTTTTGGATTTTAGCCAAAATTCTTTGCTTGTATAACACTATGCTGTGTGGCATGGCAAAATGCTATCAACACTCTGCCCCCCCAACACTGGAAAGGATGAGAAGGAATCCCAACGAAATAAAACCTCATTTCCCTTTCCCTCACCCCCTAAAAAAATTATATTCATAATAACAGTAATGAAGCCCAAAATGGAGACTAGATGAGGGGACTGTGGGGAGAGGCTGTTTGAGGTGTGTACGGGTCCTGGGGTGCTCCAGGCTGAGTTTCCCTGGGAAATCCACAACAGCTTTAATGACAAATGGGAGAGAAAAGCAAAATCAGGCACCTGGTACTTTTTTTCCTTCTCCCGTAGCAAATGGAGAAATGTTACTGTAAGGAGGAGGAGAGGAGGAGCATGGGGAAGGCATGAACCATGTCCAGGTGTGAAAGATGGGAGAAGGGCAATGGGCCCCATTTTGTTATTTGTTTTTTAAAACAAAACAGCAATTGGTGTTGTGCTCAATTTCATGGGGCGAGGGGGGGAGTAGGGAACACAAGGTGTGAGCAGCAGCCCCACCACCCTCCTGCCTTCACTCCTCCTCCCCAGGCTGCTCCCTGGCCCATGGCAAGGCTGGAAAACCACCCAGTGCTATTTTTAATTGACAGCCAATTTCTCCTGGGAAAAATGTGTACCCAGATTCCCCCCAAAAAACTTGCAGGCACCTTCAGCAACATGAATTGAGAAGCTGCTGGTCATCGTGCCATGCTTGCCTTGGGCATCCCAACCCAAGCACAGGGGTGCACAGAGAAGCAGCCAGGTAGGCAGGGACTGGGGAGAGAGGGCTCAGTTCTGATCCACTTAGGGTAGAAAGAAAACAAAGCAAGAGAAGACAAAACTGCTTCTCAAAGGCATCTGGGGAGGAGCACTGGAGCATGTGAGAGAGGAGAGAGAGGGTGGTGGGTTTGTCTCTTACATCTTGCTGTGGACTGTTTCAGACATCATGCTTGGGCTCTGAGCATGTAGTATTTTGCACTTTGTAATGCAGGATGTATATTCCAGCTTCCAACATGTCCCTGTAAAAAAAAAAAAAAAAAGAAAAAAAAAGAAAAAAAAAAAAAAAAAAAAAAGAAAAAAAAAGAAAAAAAAAAAAAAAAAAAAAAGAAAAAAAAAGAAAAAAAAAAAAAAAAAAAAAAGAAAAAAAAAGAAAAAAAAAAAAAAAAAAAAAAGAAAAAAAAAGAAAAAAAAAAAAAAAAAAAAAAGAAAAAAAAAGAAAAAAAAAAAAAAAAAAAAAAGAAAAAAAAAGAAAAAAAAAAAAAAAAAAAAAAGAAAAAAAAAGAAAAAAAAAAAAAAAAAAAAAAGAAAAAAAAAGAAAAAAAAAAAAAAAAAAAAAAGAAAAAAAAAGAAAAAAAAAAAAAAAAAAAAAAGAAAAAAAAAGAAAAAAAAAAAAAAAAAAAAAAGAAAAAAAGAAGAAAAAAGAAAAAAAAAGAAAAACAAAAAACCAAACATCATTGGCAATGGCAGCCTCTAAGGATGTATTATTTTACTTATTTTTTTTCTATGTTGCTTAATTTGTTGGTTTATACCATCTTTGTAATATGCCTGCCTTGATTTTTCTCCCCTTCCCTCTCCCCACTGATAAGATGCATACTCATTAAAGATGCCGTATCCCTGTTCTGAGCTGTTATGGTCCCAATCCCAAGAGTGTGGTCTTAGCTCAATTGCTTGGAAATGGCTGACACCCCCTTGCTTTAAAAAAAACCAACAAACCACCACAAAACAACAAGAAAACCAAACCAGAGAAAAGCCTGTGCTGTTTCCTCCCCTCCCCACGCCGTGGAGATTGGCTTTGCCCGTGATCCACCCCCACCAGCTGCGCTTCGAGTGGCTTGTTTGGGATTTGGTACATCCAGGGACCAAATTCCACCCTCAGTTCTACCCACTGCAGCTCCATTCCACAGGAGAAGAGGTGCCAGTGTGGCAGCAACCCGAGGGTGGGATGAAACCCTTACACAGGTATAATTGGGATGGGGGGGGAAGGAGGGGAAAAAAAATCCTCCTCGCCTTTTTCAGACAGAGTTGTTGGAAATAGTCCTGACTTGTGGACTCAGCTTTGCTTTGCTTCTGTTTTAGCTGTTTCTCTGCTACCTTTTCAGCAGATTTCTTATTACACTGCACTGGATTGCTATATTTTTAACCAGAAATAAACTAAGGACTAGAGCATGTGCCAGTTAAATTCAGTTCTTTTCCTTACATGGTCTTACTCCCTCCTGTCGCAGTTTTCCTTCCTCCTTTCTTTCCTTTCCCTTCTCAGCCAGAGGGCACTGGGTGGACAAGCTAAATGTGAACTGAAGGCAGCCAGACCCCAGGAACTTTTAAATTCCATTTTCCACAGTAACCATCCCTTGTCTTTATACCTCTTCCTTTCTTGTTTGATTTTTTTTTTGGCTTTTCCTTTTGGGGCCTTAGTCATCTTTTTATACTCCTGGATGGTTGCTGCCTACTTGAAATGAACCAAATGACAAGATATTGTGGTTGCAGCCCTAGGATCTGATCCATGTGTTTTGTAATTCTGGCTGCAACTCTTTGTCAAGCCTCTCCAGGACTTGTTTTTGTACATCCAAGTACATGATACCAAGGTCCTCCCAGGAGCAGGTTAAACAGATACATGTGAACACCGTACAATAATTTATATATAAACAGCACAAAAATGCCTTTCCTTATCAATCAAATAAAAGCACTAGTGATTTCATGACTAGCTTTTTCACCCTGGTGACAGCCTAGTTATTCCTCCTCTTGCCCAGGTACCAGCAGTCGTGTACAGACACAAATGCAACTTGGGTTTTCCATCTCTGTTCCACAGGATAAAACCTCTCTGGAGCTGAGGGTTTGTTCAGCGTGAGAGAGAGCCAAAGACTAATATTAATTGGCTCCCAAACCATGTGTTTAAAAATAACGATTCTTTTATTAATCATGAGGAGCTGAGCAATTTATCTTAGTTCTGGGCTTTTCACATTTGCCCAAGGCCAGAAATATTCTTGAGAAGTAGCCCAGAGAGAGAGGTAATTCAGGATATTTCCCTGTCTTATGAGCCCAGGATTCATGCAGATCTACCTAAGGCACATTAAAATGTCTATCATTGTGGCATATAAATCTATGTAAATTGTCCATACCTGCTGGTTTATGTCCACACTGAGAAATGCATGAGAACAGCTGAAGGTTTATTTCATCTTTTTTAGGCTGCAATGGTATTTTTATGTTCCTGCAGCAGAACAAGCAGCACCTGAAACCCAAGGAGAGGCTGGGGCTCAAGGATCCAGCCCTCCTCCTGCCATGGCAGTAAAGCCATTGGCAAAAAGCCATGTGTCCCTCCCTGGGGACACAGAGAGGACCAGACCTCACCTGTGTGAGTGATGGGCTGGTTTGACACCACATCTTTAGGGAAGGCAAAAAGGAAGGAACACAAAAATCCTCCACCTGCTCGTGTCACAGCAGCTTCTCACCAGCCCATCTGGTGTCTAGTTTGCTTGTACCCGAGACCTAGATTCTCCAAGCAGGTTGGGACTCTCCAGGGCCTGATCTTTCAGAACTACTGAGCTGCTGCAGCACTTATAATCCTCATCACCTGCCTGCTCCCTTTTACCCCCAATTTGGGTACTGTGTGGACAGCACTGATAGTCTGTCAAGGCTCAGGCTCTTTGACATTTGTTTGAACACAAGGAGGACACTGAGATCCAACCCCTTACCTCCTCCATAAGAGCAGTTGCCCCTACCCCAGCAGCTGCTGCATTTTGGTATCAGGTGTTTGATCTTGTTGGAAGGGAGAATTGAGAATTACTCCTGCAAGCAGCAGGAGCACTGCTCCCCAACCTCTTCCATGTGGGGCATGTTTCAAAGCTCTTTCCTTGTTTATCTGTGATGTTCAGTCACTGTAGGCTTGTGATGCTGCAGCTGTTGGGCCAACGGCTGTTTCCCAGCAGCAGCTAAACCATTTGATATGTTCCCATTCCCACTTCCCCATCCCTGGAAGATCTGCATTGGTAGGAACATGTGTGTCTTTAGTCTTTCTGTCTTGCTGACAGACATAATATGCTCAGGGCTGTTCAGCAGCAGTGGGGCTCACCCATGGTGCTGCTGGAGCCAGAAAGCAGAAGTTTTGCTGATACAAACCAGCTGGTGAATGAACCCAGATTCTCTCCAAGGCAAATGAGGAAGGGATGGACCAGCCCAGAGCATGACAAGGTTGACCAGCAATTTGGCAGCAGAAAGGTTTGGGACTGGTTTATCTCCAGAAGCCACCACAGCAGGTAGGCAGGGCTGAAGGGAGACCAGCAACTCACCTTGACTGAACCAAACCTTCACTGTGAGCAAAAATCCCCTGAGCAGTGGCAGGAACATCCTTCCATCTCCAGACATTTATCTCTGGGTCAGCCCAATCACCCTGATTCCTCTCTGATAAACTCTCCTGCAAAGTTCATTCCCAATCACGCCCCACTCACACCAAAACACACTGATGTGCATGAGAAACCATCTCATGTGCCACAAGCTAAGCTTGAGTTAGACATGAAGCCACTAACCTTCTACCGTGGCCTTTGTTGTGCAACCCCCAAAGTCAAATGCACTTCTGCTGGAACCCTCTTTTCCCCTTCCAAGCTGTGCATTTAAATGCAATAGAAAAATCCAATTTCACTGTGTTACTTACAGTGCAACTACAGCATGTGTGGCCCAAAAAAAGAGGGATTACTGAAAATATTTTCCTCAAGGAGTGAGTTAAAAAAATAAAAAAAGGTTACTTTCAGCCTTGTCTTTTAGCTGAAAAAACAAAACAGAAAAACAAAAAAAAAAACAACAAAAACCACCACCAAACCAACAGCTTGATTATTTCCAGCTACAATAATATACTGAGGTCT